TTTGCCCTGCACAACAGCAGGGACATCCCTGCCTTCAGGCGGGCAGAATTCATGGGATTTGGGGGCTTCTTTTCCAGGGAGTTCTCAGGGAAAATCCTAGGAATTCTTAGGTTGAAGTTTTGGAGCAGCGGGACTTGAGGTGCTCAAGTTTGGGGAGCTGAGGTGGGAAATTTGCCCTGCACAACAGCAGGCAGAACCCTGCCTTCAGATACGGAAATTCCTGATTTTGGGGGCTTTTTTCCAGGGAATTCCCAGCGAGTTCTCAGGGAAAATCCTAGGAATTCTTAGGTTGAAGTTTTGGAGCAGCGGGACTTGAGGTGCTCAAGTTTGGGGAGCTGAGGTGGGAACTTTGCCCTGCACAACAGCAGGGAGAACCCTGCCTTCAGATATGGAAATTCCTGATTTTGGGGGCTTTTTTCCAGGGAATTTCAAGGGAAAGTCCCAGGAATTTTTCAGTTGGGGTTTTGGAGCAGTGAGAATTGAGGTGCTCAAGTTTGGGGAGGTGAGGTGGAAAATTTGCCCTGCACAACAGCAGGGAGAACCCTGCCTTCAGATATGGAAATTCCTGATTTTGGGGGCTTTTTTCCAGGGAATTTCAAGGGAAAGCCCTGGGGATTCTTAGGTTGGGGTTTTGGAGCAGCGAGAATTGAGGTGCTCAAGTTTGGGGAGCTGAGGTGGAAAATTTGCCCTGCACAACAGCAGGGACATCCCTGCCTTCAGGTGGGCAGAATTCATGGCTTTGGGGGGCTTCTTTTCCAGGGAGTTCTCAGGGAAAATCCTAGGAATTCTTAGGTTGGGGTTTTGGAGCAGTGAGAATTGAGGTGCTCAGGTTTGGGGTGCAGAGGAATCTGCACGTTCCTGATTTTTGGGGCTGTTTCTCCGTTATGGGATTGTGTTCCCTGATGCCGGTGGAAGCTGCACTGGCTGCAGGAATGCACGGGATGGTGCTGGAGAGCTGGGAATGCTCTGGGCATTGCAGGAGGGAAAAATCCAGCGCTGGATCCCAGCCCTGGAGAGCTGGGAATGCTCTGGGCATTGCAGGAAGGAAAATTCCTGAGGAAACTCTGCTGGATCCCAGCCTAGGAGAGGTGGGAATGTTCTGGGCACTCCAGGCAGGAAAATTCCACTGCTGGATCCCAGCCCTGGAGAGCTGGGAATGATCTAGGAATGTTCTGGGCATTCCAGGCAGGAAATCCACAGCTGGATCTTGCCCTGAGTGGAGCTGCAGAGCCAGGAATGCCGTTCTGGGAATGTTCTGGGTGTGCTCTGGGCATTGCAGGCAGGAATTCCATGGCTGGATCCTTGCTCTGAGGAGAGCTGGGAATGCCCCAGGAGTGCTGTGGTCATTCCAGGGGGGAATTTTACGGCTGGATCCGTGCTCTGAGTGGAGCTGCAGAGCTGGCAATGCTGTTGTGGGAATGTTGTGGGAATGTGCTGTGATCATTCCAGGCGGGAATTTTACGGCTGGATCCGTGCTCTGAGTGGAGCTGCAGAGCCGGGAATGCTGTTGTGGGAATGTTCTGGGAATGTTCTGTGATCGTTCCGGCAGGAATTCCCAGCTGGCGCCGTTGTTGTTGGCAGGTTCCTGTACGAGCCCCACAGCAAAGGGCACCGCTACTACCGCCAGAAGCTGGAGGAGTTCCGCAGGGCCCGGGCTGCCCCCGGGGGCTCCCCCTTTCCCGGGAATCCCCAGGAATGCGGCCTCAAACGGAAAAGCAGCCCCGAGGCCTCTCCCTCCCCCGTGTGCTTCCCCCCTCTGCCCGTTCCCGTCCCGCCGCCTCTGCCTCTCCCCGTTCCCCTTGTTCCCGCTGCTCTGCCCGTTCCTTCGGCCTCTCCTGCCCCCTCCTCATCCTCCACCTCCCCTCCGGATCAGCTGGCCCCCAGTCCAGCCCCGATCCCAAACTCTGCCCCAGTCCCGAATCCAGCCGTGAGCCCAAACCCAGCTGCAATCCCAAATCTTGCCACGACCCCAAATCCATCCGTGGCCCCAAGTCCTGCTCCGGGCAGCACCAAAAAGAAGAGGAAGAGCCGGTGGGGGCCGGAGGAGGAGAAGGTGGAATTGCCCCTGCCCCAGCTGGTGCAGCAGCTGGACTCTCCCTCTCCCCTCTCAGGTGAGCGGGGTCGGGTTTTCCTGGGAATTTCCTGGCTCCAGAGTCGTTTTTATTTCCTGAGATGGACATGGATCAAGTTCTCTTCTCTGCTGTCAATCCCACTTCTTCCCTGTGGTTTTATTTTCCCTTTCGCTCTGTGAGAATTGCAAACAGAATTCCTTTTTTCTTTCTTTTCTTTTCCCACCCTTTTATTCCCTTTCATTCCCCCTCAGAGATTTTTCTAATCTCCCAGGTTTTTCCAGAGGTTTTTCCCTGTTTTTTCCCTGCAGTTCAAGACCTGAAGGGTCTGGGGTACGAGAAGGGCAAACCCGTGGGACTGGTGGGAGTCACGGAGCTCTCGGAGGCCCAGAAGAAGCAGCTGAAGGAGCAGCAGGAGGTGAATCCCAGAAATCCTCCCTGAGTTCCCTCCCGTGGGAATAACAAAGGTTTTCCATCATGGAATCCCTGGGAGCAGCGTGGGGCTGGAATCAGCAGGGATAGCAGAGGGTTTGGGATTGAGGGCTTTTCCAGCCCTAAAATCCCAGATCCCAGAGGAGCTTTCCTGGGGCTTAATCCCGTTTTTCCTGGGACAAATCCCATTTTTCCATGACTCCCAGATGCAGCAGATGTACCACTTCATCATGAAGCACAGGCACAGCTCTCCTGCCTTTTGGGGCTGGAATTTGGGATTCTTTAGGGTTTGGAGCCATTTTTTGTGGAGCGGGCTGTGCTCCACCGGGATTCCTGGGCCGAACCCCATTTTTCCCAGGACAAACGCCATTTTCCCAGGACAAATCCCATTTTCCCAGGCTGAAGGCCGCGTTGTGTGTTTCCCAGATGCAGCAGATGTACGACATGATCATGAAGCACAAGCGGGCGATGCAGGAGATGCAGCTGCTGTGGGAGCGGGCGCTGCAGCAGCACCAGCACGGCTACGACAGCGACGAGGAGGTGGACAGCGAGCTGGGCACGTGGGAGCACCGCCTGCGCCGCATGGAGATGGACAAGACCCGCGGTGGGTGGGAGTTCCAGAGGAGTTCCATCCCTGGGGAGCACTGGGGTGGGTGGGACTGGGAATTCCAGAGGCAATTCCATCCCTAGGACGCATCAGGGTAAGTGGGAGTGGGAATTCCAGAGGAGAATTCCATCCCTGGGAAGCACTGGGGTGGGTGGGATTGGGAATTCCATCCCACCCTCATGGATTGGGAGCCGCAGGAACCATCCCTATCCTCATGGATTGGGAGTTGTAGGGGCAGTCCCTCCAGGGATGCTCCACAAATCCCAAGGGATGCTCCGTGGTTCTCCAGAGGTCTCGCTGTGCATTCCTGGGAGGTTTTGTGCTCCAGAATCCTCCCGGAATCCAAATGTCCCTGAAATCCCAAGGG